TGATCAGTGTCATTTTGATGGCCAGAGGTTCTTTTTACCACCACTGTACCATTTTTATTATATTGCAGTAAGCCCCAGAACTTTGCTACCATTAAAGGATGGGGAGATAACTGGAAAACTTTGTATATTTGACTTTGCACAAACCTTGTCAACTATAGATCTCACATCCAGGTATTTAAAAAAATTTAAATATAAAGAAATTAATTATTCCACAGCATATTTTAAATTGAAATACAAGTGCTGGCTCGGCACCCGTGGCTCAAGTGGCTAAGGTGCCAGCCACATACACCTAAGGTGGCGGGTTCGAATCCAGCCCAGCCCGCCAAACAACAATGATGGCTACAACTGAAAAAAAATAGCCAGGCATTGTGGCAGATGCCTATGGTCCCAGCAACTTGGGAAGCGGAGGCAGTAGACTCGCTTGAGCCCAAGAGTTGGAGGTTGCTGTGAGCTATGCCACGGCACTCTACCCAGGACAGTTTGAGGCTCTGTCTCAAAAAAAAAAAAAAAGAAATACAAGTGCTGTGGACTAATTCAGAAGCGGTTCACAAATAAAAACTGCATATGATATGTTCTTCCATTTGTTGATATCTTCTACTATTTCTTTTCTTAGGGGTTCATAATTTTCTTTATAAAGGTCCTTCACCTCCCTTGGGAGGTGTATTCTTAGGTATTTCATTTTCTTTGGAGCTACCGAGAAGAGCATTGTGTCTTTGATTTCCTTCTCATCTTGGCTGTTATTGGCATATACAAAGGCTACTGATTTGTGGACATTGATTTCATATCCTGAGGTGTTACTGTACTTTTTGATCACTTCCAAGAGCCTTGTGGTTGAGTGTTTGGGGTTATCTAAGTATAAAATCATACCATCAACAAAAAGGGAGAGTTTCACTTCCTTTACCCCCATTTGGATGCTTTTAATTTCCTTCTCTTGCTGATTGTATTGGCTAGAACTTCCAGCACTATATTGAATAGTTGTGGTGATAGAGGACAACCTAGTCTTGTTCCAGTCCTGAGTGGAAAGCTTTCAGTTTTACTCCATTCAATATAATATTAGCTGTGGGTTTGTCATGGATGGCTTTCCATGACAATCAGTTTTCAGTTTAAGGAATGTGCCGCCAATGCCTACACTCTTCAGCATTCTAATTAGGAAAGGATGTTGAATTTTATTGAATGCTTTTTCTGCATCTTTTGAGAGGATCATATGGTCTTTGTTTGGCTCCTGTTGATATGGTGAATTATGTTTACAGATTTGCATATGTTAAACCAGCCATGCATCCCTGAGAACATAGTTGAAATGTCTATACTTCCCAAAGCAATCTATAGATTCAATGCTATCCCTATTAAAATACCAACATCTTGCTTTCAAGATTTAGAAAAAATAATTCTTCATTTTCTATGGAACCAAAACAACCCAGTGTAGCCAAGGCAATTCCTAGTAATAAAAACAAAGCCGGGGCATCAGCCTACCAGACTTTAGGCTATACTACAAGGCCATAGTGATCAAAACAGCATGGTACCGGCACAATAAAAGAGACACAGACATTTGGAACTGAACAGAAAACCAGGAGACGAAACAAACATCTTACAGCCACCTAATCTTTGATAAACCAAACAAGAACATATGTGGGGGAAAGAATCCCTATTCAATAAATGGACTGGGAGGACTAGATATCCACATGTAAAAGACTGAAACTGGACCCACACCATTCTCCACTCATAAAAATTGATTCAAGATGGATAAAAGACCTTAATCTAAGGCATGAAACAATTAAAATCCTCAAAGAAAGTGTGAGGAAACACTGGAAGCTATTGGCCTGGGGAAAGACTTTATGAGGAAAACTTCTGCGGCAATTGCAACAACAAATATAGACAAATGGGACTTAATGGAACTGAAAAACTTCTGTATAGCTAAAGTGACAACAACCAAATAAACTGACAACCTACACATTGAGAAAGGATATTTGCATATTTTGATTCAGACAAAAGCTTGATAACTAGGATCTATAGAGAACTCAAATTAACAAACATAAAAAGAGCCAATAATCCTTTAGATCACTGGGCAAGAGAGATGAATAGAACCTTCTCTAAAGAACACAGACAAATGGCTAACAAACATATCAAAAAATACTCATCATCCCTACTTATTACAGAAATGCAAATCAAAACCACCCTGGGATATCATCTAACACCAGTGAAAATGGCCCACATCACAAAGTCTCAAAATTGCAAATGTGGAGAGAAGGGAACACTTACACTGCTGGTGGGACTGCAAACTAATACAACCTTTTTTGGAAGAAAGTATGGAGAACCTTCAAAGAACTCAAGGTAGAACTCCCATTTGATCCTGCAGTCCCATTACTGAGCATCTACCTAGAAGGAAAAAAATCCTTTTACCATAAGGACACTTGCACTAGACTGTTTATTGCAGCTCAATTTACAATCGCCAAAATGTGGAAACAGCCTAAATGCCCACTAACCAAGGAATGGATTAACAAGCTGTGGTCCATGTATGCCATGGAACACTATTCAGCCACTAAAAAAGATGGAGACTTACATCCTTTGTGTTAACCTGGATGGATGTGGAACACATTATTCTTAGTAAAGCATCACAAGAACAGAGAAGCAAGAATCCTATGTACTCAATTCTGATATGAGGACAATTAAGGTCCTAGTACACAGTAGAGGGGTAGAGGATGGGGAGAGCTGAGAAAGGGAAGGAGGGAGGAGATGGGGGTCAAAGGGTGTGGTACACCTTTTGAGGGTGGGACACAAATATAAGATGGTCTTTATTTAACAAAAGCATCAGTATAACCTGGTTCTGTGTACCCTCAATGAATCCCCAACAATAAAAAAAAAAAAAGACAAATGAAAAAGAAATTAAACTAGTTTTGAAGAACAAAAAAAATTCCATCAAAAAAATAAAAATTAGGTGGAATGAGAATATTTAATACTGATTGTCATATGCCTTTGCTAAAAACAGAAATTTCTATAGCTTTCTGAGGAAGTATTTTGGCAATAAGCATAATTAATTTTAACAGTGTTTAAGTCTTTAACTCAGTAAAAGCACTTGTGCGATTCTATTCTAAGAACATTAGTCAAAATATGAAGATTTCTTTGCCCTACTATTTTTTAAAATCAAGAAAATTGGGGCTCGGTGCCTGTGGCTCAAGTGGCTAAGGTGCCAGCCACATACACCTAAGGTGGCGGGTTCGAATCCAGCCCAGACTCACCAAACAATAATAATGGCTGCAACCAAAAAATAGCTGGGCATTGTGGCAGGTGCCTGTGGTCCCAGCTACTTGGGAGGCTGAGGCAGGAGACTCACTTGAACCCAGGAGTTGGAGGTTGCTGTGAGCATGATGCCATGGCACTCTACCCAGGGGGACAGCTTGAGGCTCTGTCTCAAAAAAAGAAAATTGGAAAGGAAACATTTATAATAACTAATAATAACAAATGGCTACATGTATTACAGCACCTTGATATCATGATGTATTTTGAAACCATTTTAAATAATGTTCATTGGGAGTTTTTAAAATTTGTTAAAATATTTACAATTATTTTACGTGAAAATGGAAAACAAAATTATATATATATATTTTATATATATATATTATATATATATATAGTATGAGCATAATAATATAAAAATAAGCATAGGAAAAAAGGTTGAGAAATATATACCAAGTGATTATCACTCAAGAATGAGACTAATTGGCTTGGCGCCTGTGGCTCAAGTGGCTAAGGCACCAGCCACATATACCTGAGCTGGTGGGTTCGAATCCACCCTGGGCCTGCCAAACAACAATGACGGCAACAACCAGCCAGGCATTGTGGTATGCCTGCAATCCCAGCTACTTGGGAGGCGGAGGCAGGAGAATCGCTTGAGCTGAGGAGTTGGAGGTTGCTATGAGCTGTGATGCCACAGCACTCTACCCAGGG